CGGAAGGATATGGTTACACCATCCGGTAGGTGACCAGCACAATTCAGAAAAACCACGTATGGAGGAAGACGAATAAGTTTGATAAGTAATGATTAATATTCAGTCGCACCATGACATAGTACACAAATCTTCAAAAATTAAGGCGATAGTCACGAATCTGAAGTGCACCCCCATAACGTCACTTATAGATGGAAAAAACAAGAAATACATCCACAAATAAATAAATGAACAACTATGCAAATGACCGAATATTCACTTATTTTCTGGTTCGCTCAGCCGGTGAGGACAGGTGATCAAAGAAGGCCGATATGCAAAGTGCACGTGAGTCGACGAAGGATGATGGAAGAGAAATTAGCTAAGCAAAACAACATCACAAAGACACATGGAGAGGAGTTTGGGGTTACACATGGTTGGCAGCATCCGGATTTGCCTGTCACGGCGGCCTCCATAGGACAGCCACAGGCCCCCTGCGCCTCCAGAGGGATCATTGGTGGCTTGTGCTGCACCACACACAGCTCCAAGCACACACTAGAAATCCGGTGCAAAGCCGAAAGAATAAGACCAGAAGGCATGTGGATGGGAGTCACATCTCATCAACAAAACCCGCCACACTCCTTCAACGTGGGCAACAACAACACTCTAGTTAGGGAAATTGGGGGATCACACGTACCAGACGTACATAAGGCGGTAGCTGGGCCGTAGCCCGTTCAGAGTCAGATGCATGGAACCACTCTTTGAGCCTAGCACGGCCAGGAGGACCGCGTATCCCGCTCCGCAGCAACGATTTACAGTCCGCTGGAGCCAGCAGTCGAGGTGGAGGGTGTTAGACAGGTAGGCATCTTGTCGACATTCACATCAAGCGCAACCACGCGGGGGTATCATACAACGAATATAGAATTGTAGAGAAAGCAAACGCGGAAATTTGGCAAAGAATTTGCAGCAGAATAACAGATTTGAAGAAACCAAATAAAGTGGACTGACATTTATCCAGATTACAAAGATCTACTTTATTTGTAAGTTGATTTAGCCAAACTGCGGTGAACATGCATCATGAATGCAACCGCAACCTCAGCACGAGGCAAAGGAGTTGCAAATGGTTGGCGGCATCCGGTTTCGGATTTGCCTGTCACTCTGGCAGGCCACAGGACGCCTGCGCCTAAAGAGGGACCATGGGTGGCTTGCGCTGCACCACCCACAGCTCCATCCAAACACCCCATATCCAGTGTAAACCCGAAGGAATAAGACCGGGAGGCATGTGGATGGGAACCACGTTTCATCAACGGAGCCGGCACACACTCCTTCACAGGCAAACACAAGCACACTGTATTTGGGGAAATCAAGCGCACACAAGACGGTGGCTGGACCGTAGTCCGCTCCCCACCAAGTGCATGGAACCACTCTTTGATCCTAACACGTCCACGAGGACAGTGCACCCCGTCCCCTCCAGCAACGACCAACTGTCTCCTGGAGCCACATGGACGAGATAGTGGGTAATAGACAGGTAGGCACCTTGTCAACGTGCACATCAAGCGCAGCCACACCTGGGATGTCAAACAACAGCGAATCATTCGAAATGCCGATATCGATTAAAGTAAACGCAGATGACGACATAAATACTCGCTGAATGAGCATATAGAAGGAATTGGTTATAAGTGAATCCGTGATAAGTACAAAATGTCCGAAAGTTAGTTAAAAAAATACCACGCGATAAAATTACGCAAGTTTACTGCAATTTGCGTGAGCGACGTGTGCAAGTAAGGGGAAGATTATCAAGTACGTAGAACAAACCAAATAACATGTAATGAATTTTATCCGCACTAAAAAGACCTAGTTTAAGTGTAAGTTGGTTTAGCCCAACTGCGGTGAACAAGCATCATGAATGCAACATCAGCCTCAGCAAGGGAGTTGCACAACTGACCTAATAACAAACCATGTCGTCGTCGTAACAGGAGCTCACAGCCCCGCAACCAACGGCCAGCTGGGCAACCCAGACGAAAAGCTGCCATCCCGTCAGTCTCCGGGGTGCACCGGCTGGCCGAGTCAGCGGATCCAAGATGACTGTCTTGGTTAGGCTTGGAGGGGGCCTGCGATTTGCCAGCGCTCGTGTGGCTCAGCCCGACTGACCAATCGGTAACAGGTGGCCATGTGAACACAGAAAAGGCAGGATTCAATAGGACCAATAGGAGAAGGTGAAGTGCAAGCACCACGGTGGAGGGATGGACGTGAGACCGGAAAAACAGGTAGAACCAATCGAATCCCAACGCAGTGACCAGTTCGTTGCATAGGCTGAAGAAGAGGAACGGTGAAATTGAACATTGTGGTAGGGCTGCGAAAGTGTGAGGGACATGTTTATGGGGGAATTGGGTAGGAACTCACTCTCTGCCCACCGCCGGTGAGTCCAATATGAGCCGGATAAGCAGTTCAAAACAGCAATTACGTAATTCGATTGGGTGTTGTCTCCAGTCGGTCGACTCTGAAGTGAGGTAAAGGAAGGTAAGGCGCAGAGATGTAGTGATATAGAGGAATATCTGCCTAGATGATTCGATGAAAAATTAAATTAAAAAAATAAAGGTCGTATGGACCGCGAGACATAAACTGGAGCCAGTCTGCTGCAGGAAGACTACACTGGTCCAGAGTAAAGTGCAGCGGACCCAGTTTGAATCAAGAACATCGTCATTGTGAAAAAGCGAACGATAGTAAAGACGAGAACCCATAGTACGGGTATAAAAAAATTAACAAAATATTCCATAGCCTAAATTGAGAAGTCTCGAGAGAAGCTAGAGTTAGTTGGGTGCATACCTTTCGTATTGGCTTATCAATGCCTTGCGTGGAAGCCGCACGTGTGAAAACCGAAGTTACGTTAGCAGGACAGGGTCAAGGTGAGTCTATCACGAATTAACGTTGATTTCAGGTGTTGGGAATCAAAGACAGTTGATCGGGGCGAATGGCGTGAGCTGACCAAGAGGGTGGGTGCTCAGGTGCAAGAAAGAAACGTCGGTTGTGGAAGCGATAGGCGCCAATGGTGTGTAGCCCATTGACGTCGAGCGTACTGTGTTGTAGCACACGCGGCTGTGAGTGCCTGAACCAAGAGAGCTTGGTAAGCCACCAGCGTCGCCACGCTAGGCTAACATAGGAGAGAAGACCAGTGAGCCAAATATGTAATCGTCATCAGAGTAACGCTTGGCAAGTACGCTGCTCCCGGTTCAACTTACTAACACAGGCTAATAAGGCGGCTGCTGTGGTACGTAGGCTACATCATCGTTGCAATTGGTCTGTACGTGTACCTCCGTCTTGAGTTTCGTGCATTTCAGATGTTCGGTATTGATTGATATCCCCAGTGTGACAGTCCTTGATGTGAATACTGACAAGATGC